AATTGAGTTGTTGGCCAAAGGGGTCCCATGGGAGCCCCCAAATAACTCAAGTTGTTGACAAGACAACAGCTCTCCACAAACTGACAGCAAGGTCCCATTTCTGAAGATAGTACCTACATGACTCATGTAGAAGTTAAGCTAATGCCTACAGAGAGCCTCCATCCCTGTGTGCTGGCATCCCTGGTGCAGGAAGGTACTCTGAATGCTACCAAATGAGTAACGTGAACACCTACCCAGTCACAACGCTTGGATTGGCAATGGTGACCTGCCTGTAACATATGCTGGTACAATGTTGGCAAAAAGTCTGTGGGGGTAGCTAACCAATGTCTGATTTGACAGAAAGTGCACTCTGTGATGACACACTCATCACTGCTTTGGTGGCCAAGCAACTGAGACTAGATAGCCCAGGAACATCTATGTTCTGTAAAAAAGAAATATTATTATTCTACAAAACAAAATCAAGCAAACAAAACCCTGAAATGTAGCGGTAAGATGACTTCTAACAACACTCTGCTGTATTCGCGTATTAGTGCCTTGCTCAGCCATCACCAGAGATGCCTCCTCCTGTGGCAGGTATGAGCAGGCACGGAGACCCCCCAGCCCCACAATGTGCAGAGAGTGAGAGACTTGGAACACAGCCTTGAACAGGATGTCTCCATCAGACCCTCCCCTCAGAGCTCAGGGGAACCCTCAAGGAAGAGGAGACAGAGAAGAGTATAAGAGCCAGAGGGGATGGAGGACACAGGAAAACAAACCCCTCCAAATCAACATGATCGACACACGTGGGAACTCACGGAGACCCGGGCAGCCTGCACAGGTCCGCGCCAGTTGGAGTTCTAGAAAGAAAAGGAGAGGTGGACACGTGACCCCGCCCCTAACGCAGTTGATAAGCGCTTGCACATGAAGATCTAGTTTCTTCCAAGGGAGTCTCACTGGGGAAACAAACTACCCTTAAAATAGTCTGCATTCCCAGCAGTAAATGGCCAACAGAAATATAAAAATGGACATGTGTATGTATATGTATATATGTGGCTCCCAGTTTAGTGTTTTTATGGGATTCCTGTGTGTGTGAATGAGTGGGTCTCTGTTTCTTATGTCTTTTTTGGGGGGCTCTTTTCCTTTTGTTAATTTATTTCGTTCCATTCCAATGTGTCAGTTTTTAATTTATTTTATCCTTACCCCATACAAATCTGGTTTTTTTTTTCCCCAATGAGACAGAAAGGGAGTAGATCTGGATGGAAGGGGAATTGGGAGGATCTGGGAGAGGTAGGGGAAGGGGAAACGGTAGTCAGGACGTATTACATGAGAAAAAGGTCTATTTTTAATAAAGGAAAAAAAGAAAGAGAAAATAGTGTGGTTATATACCAGGATGGCTCTCAATTAGAGGGGACAAAGGAGGGATAGATTTTGCTGTGTGTACCCTGTCACCATGGTCCAGCTGCATGGCCCTCAGATCACCATGGCCCAGCTGCATGGCCCTCAGAAGAGCTGTGGAGCGTGTGGCTGCCCCTCACCTGCCCTGAACTGCACCCATGCTCTGCTGAATGCGGCATACGTCAGATGTTTGCTGGGCTCAGTCATCCAGTAGTTTCTGCGTAGCATAAAGAGGAAGCTCATTGCATGGCAACCAGGCGCTTACTTTTTCTCAGATGTTCAGGACTGAAGGCGCTGTGGGGGCTCTTGAAACATGGAACACACTACTAAGAGTCAAAACGTATGGGCAGTTTAGCTGTTATTTCCAGGCAGGTGGCCATTCGGATGGCCTTAGAAGGATAATGCGTTTCAAAGAAGTTTACAGTCTTAACTGGTAACTATGTGTGTCCCTTCGAGCAATACCCAAACCAGATAGCTTTGATGGAACAAGGGACTCCGTGGCACTCTGAGCCACGCTTACATGTTAGGTGGTGGGTTTTCCTATGATGATGTAACCTCTTCAAACTGGCATGCTTGGAACAAGAGGAAAACAATGCAGACTGCCCGGGCACACTGGAACCAGGTGATTGGCAGGCTCCACCCACAGATATCACTCAACTGGGAATGGACCCCAATTTCAACTGAACTGAGGGGCAGGGTAAGCAGAGCAACAGAGAGATTGGGAGTGAGAACCAGAAGCACACGGAGAAATCAGAGACACTGAATATTCCGTGGTGATTGACAGGAGGCTAAAGAAAGCTGGGAGGTTGAGTTGATCAATTCCTGCTCAGGAGTCTTGCCTACAGGAAGGCATCTCAGTCAAGGATAAGCCACACCCCGGGTCGCTGAGGACAGGCAGATCTCTTGTAAATATTGGATGTAGCAGATAACGAACTACAACAAGATTGGCAGGGAAGCACTCAGTAAACAGCGCAGTGCTTGGCTGCAACCACCTGCAGGGGAAACAGGTAGCCCCACCCCCCCATCTTAAATGCCGTCTCTTTCTGAAACGCCTCAAGTCCCAGAAACTTCTGGTGGCGCGAACTTTGTACACCCGGATGTGACTGTCGGACCGGAACTTCTTCTTGAAGCTCTCTTATGCCGTCAGGGGTCCTATGCTGGTGTTCATTCTCCCTCATGAGGATCCCTGGGGACCTGTGCATCCCTGCGGAGCTGTGGTTCCCAGCGGGGCTGATATTCACAACACTGTCACTAAGTTATGAGCGTCCGCCTCAGATGAGCACGAGAGAGCTTTGGATCCAGCAATTCCAGGCTTCCCCATGCATAGCACGGCTCTCCAGTGACCTACTTATCTGAAGTCTTTCATGCACTCCGTTTGAACTGTGATGAGAGCGGGCTACATACAAGCTGACAGGCACAACCTGTGAAATTAAATCCCAAGCCAGACCTTGATGTTAAGATCCCGAAACAGAAAGTTAAATTTACACAGGAGGATCTGAGCATCCGGAGGAATCCTGGGCTTCAGTGCTCAGCAGGACAACAGTTTGATCTGAAGACAGAGCTGGCAAAGTCATGTCCTCACAGTTTAACCGAGATATGATGCTTATAATGGAACGGGAAAACTTTTAGGGTGTGTTCTGTCTCACCCGAGCCTTCGAAAGCACACATTTATTAAAATCCGAGCTGTTTCAGCCACCCCTGTGCTCTCCGGCTCTTACTGCGAGTCACTTTCTGTGTATAGCAAATAGTATGCTAGCGTGTTAGTGGCGACACTTGCAGCAGAGTTACTCACCTGGTTCCACAGTGACCTTCCTAATCTTTCACTGGTCCCAAGAGGACAAGTTCGCAGAAATGTGTGATTACACATGTACAGGGAGGGGGGGTGTGGACAGGACCCTGAGAAGCTGGGAAGGAGCATGGTAAACACCTTGCTAGAGGCACAGCTGCATTTGGTTTACAGGTGTGAGACTTGGGGCAAGTTGCTTAGTCTAAAGCGTGTTACCTCTGCTTTTTTGATACATTATCTGTGATGTTTGCAACTGGCCCCAAGGCTTCTTTCTGCACACCAGGCAAACGCTCTACGGCTGAGCTAGAGCCTCAGCCCTATTTTGTATTAGTTTTGTTTGAGACAGAATGAATGGCTTTCACTCACTGTGTAGCCCAGGTTTGCCTTGAACTTGCCACCTTCTGCCTTAGCCTTCCAAGTAGCTGGCATTACAGGCCTGTGCCACCAGGTTTGGCTTCCCCCTGTTTGACTGTGTAGTTTTATAACTGAAAAAAAAAAAGAAGGAATGTAAGCCAGGTAGGATGGTGCACGTCTGTAATCCTAGAAGGTTGCGTGTGTGTGTGTGTGTGTGTGTGTGTGTGCGTGCGTGCGTGTGTGCGTGCGTGTGTGTGTGTGCGTGCGTGCGTGCGTGCGTGTGTGTGTGCGTGCGTGCGTGTGTGTGTGCGTGCGTGTGTGTGTGTGTGCGTGTGTGTGTGCGTGTGTGTGTGCGTGTGTGTGCGTGTGTGTGTGTGTGTGTGTGTGTGTTAAGGGTGAGTGAAGACAGGAGGAGGAGGAGTTGTAGGATAGCCTTGTTTACATTTGAAGCTATCCTGGTCTACAAGAGACCTTGCCCTACAAAAACAAAACTAACTAAATAAATAAGTCTGATTACAGTTGTGTGTGGTATCTTGACAAACACTATACATTGTGAGATGGTTATCATAGTCAAGCTAACATACCCATCACCTTGTTTGGTATCCTTGTGTTATGCATATGTAGTAAGATCACTTAGTATGCTAGCTATAGTCAGCAAACTGTAAGTTATAATTCCGTAACTTATCCATTGCCCGCCACTGAAACCAATAGGGCTATGGGTGTGCGTGGGTATAGGCTTTACAAGGAAACAGGTACATGGAGAGGCTAACTAAAGAAAGTGAAATAAGGAAAGGACTGTTTACCTGTTTTGTTTGTTTTCTTGCTTTTGGTGAGTAGGCATAGTGGGTTCAATGACGTATAACCCTAGTCCCAATGGGATGGTGACAAGAAGTACGGCCTTTGAGAGGTTATGAGGTTGAAAACCTCATGAACAAGATTGATACCCCTATAAAAAGGACCCCAGAGAGCCATCTTATCTTCCTTCTGCCGTGTGAGGGTGCAATTGAAAGACAGCAGTCTGCAGCTGGAGGAGGCTCACACCACTTGTTCTTTGCGGACGGCTTAATTTCAGGTTCCAATCCCCAGAGCAGACAGTCACGGAATGGAACTTGCCTCCTGAAGGCTCAGCTAATTAGGAAAGCAGGTGTTTAGAGAAATCAGCATGGGAAGGCAGAGCTCCCTAGGTCGGGGTCTCGGGAGGCACTGTGTTCTTCACTCTCTAAGGAGGGTGCAGTGTGGGTGAAAGCCTAGCTCAGCTCTACCCTGAGCCACTGAACGCGTAGAGCGGGGTGACTGCCCAGGGCAAGGAGCTAGGCAGAAAGTGGGCTGAGCTTGCTTGGAAGTGGGCACTAGCTGGGGAAGGCTATAATAGCGTAACGCCTGGCTCTGTCACAACCCCGTAGTAAGGAGAGTGAACTCCAGAATCTAGTTCGACCTTTGAGAACAGTGGGAGGTCTGAAAACATTTCAAGGCTTTCTACATGTGATCTTTTAGAAGATTCCAGGATGTGTCAGTGTGAGTGTCCGAAGACTGCCCCAACAGCAGCACCCTACATGCCCCGTTGTGCATGGCACGGTTGCAGGTTAACGGTGCTTATTGCTCCACAATTCCGAGCAAGCGCACTGAGCCCTTCCGGTCTGCGGAATGCAAACCACTGTGAGGCCACGGCTCAGCGTAGCCTTCCTCTTTCACAGCTGTGTCGCGCTTCCCCAGGACACCCTCCTAGTCAGTGAGTATAGCAACCCGTGCTCCCTGCCTTAAATTCCCAGCCTGTGGCCTGTGAAACACTTACCTTCCCTCGCAAACTTTTACATGGAAATGGTTTTAAAGAGGGATGTCCCAGATGGGTGAGTTAGCATTAGTTTAAACCTGTCACTTATGGGTCGGTAATCTTTTTAAAGAAAGATTCCTTTATCTTTATTTTATTGGTGTTTTGCATGTATGCATGTCTGTGTGAGGATGTTGGATTCTGGAGTTATAGACAGTTGTGAGCAGCTGTGTGGGTGCTGGGAATTGAGCCCAGGTCCTCTGGAAGAGCAGTCAGTGCTCTTAACTGCTGAGCCATCACCCCAGCTCCTAGGTCAGTAGTCTTTAATAAATATGTGTGCTTCTTTTGATTCTAAGTACGATAACTTAAAGGACATTCCAGAAAACACATTTTCTTCATCATCTTACGTCCTTAGCCACTGAGACGGCTGGCATTGAAGCAATGACTTTGTGCTGGGCATGATAATACATACTTGAGATCCTGGCTACTGGGGAAAATGAGGCAGTAGAATTGAGTATTTGAGACCAATTTGAGCAATTTAGTGAAACTGTCTCAAGAAGGAAATCAAAAATGTGCTGAGATATAGCTCACTGGCAGAAAGCTTACTCGGCAGTAAGACTCTAGGCTCCATCCCACAGCGAAGGATGCTCTCTCAGCCTGGACTCTTATGGGAGGACCTTTGCCCTGCCCTGGATGAAATGACAGACTCTGGAGATCCTCCATGGAGGGCCTCATCCTCCCTGGGGATCGGTGGGAATTGGATGGGGGGGCTGGAGGGCCTGGTGGGGAGGAGGGGAGGGAGAGGGAGCTGGGATTGACATGTGAAGCAAGCTTGTTTCTAACTTAAATAAAAAAATAATAAAAAATAAAAGACTCTGGGTTCAGTACCGAGATAAACAGCAACAACACACACACACACACACACACACACACACACACACACACACACACACCACCCCTCCTTATTCCCCTCAACATCAACACTATCACAATCAACATCACCTCCAAAATACCGAAGAATTTGAAAATAACTACTGAACAAGAAACAGTATGATTTTTAAAATTAATAAGCTTCATGTTATAGATGACTGTCTGGGATATTTGTCTTAATAAAAATTAATAATTTGTAGAGGTTGATAATTCTTTTGGGAATTTAGTATTTTTCCATGTGCATAGCTTAAAATCAAATGGGACTGATAGTGAATGATGGAGTCTTGTCTACTTCTCTACTTATAATTGTGTTTTGAGAGAGGCCGCTGCTGAGAACTCTCAGTAACTTCATTTTGTATTTGCCTCCATGCTTCTTGGAAGCACACAATAATTTTTCAGTTTTGTTTATCACAGTTTCCTCATATCTGTGAAAAGGAAGAACTTAGCTTCTTTATGTAACTCTACATCTACAGAATCATAACACATTTGCCATTGTTCATGATCTATTTGGATATGGCTTTGTGTATTACTCATGGCCAAGGCATCTCATGTGCTACGCTTATACTTTTAACATTACGATAAGCCGGGCATTGGTGGCGCATGTCTTTAATCCCAGCACTCGGGAGGCAGAAGCAGGCAAATCTCTGTGAGTTCGAGGCCAGCCTGGTCTACAGAGCGAGTTCCAGGACAGCCTCCAAAACAATACAGAAAAACCCTGTCTCAAAAAAAGACAAAGAAAAAAGAAACAGAAAAAAAATCAACATTATGATAACTGGAGCTGCTGTCTGCATGTCTACCTGGCCCCTCACCTTCTCCTGTCTGTCTGCATGTCTATCTGGTCCCTCACTTTCTCCTTGTCTTTTCTGCAGCAAAGTCTTTTGATGCCCTCCCAAAAGAGGAAAAAAATCCCTTTGCTCAATTTCACAACTTCAGATTATTTCTTAATTTCACCATTTATTTCATTCCTTCCTGGTGTTCTGGGTAGAATGACATTTCTCTAGATGCAACTGTCGTCTGTGATCCTCTTAGGATTTCTTCTCCTGGCTTGGTTCCATGGTTGCCATGTCTTCTAACTAGGTTTACTCCTTAACTTTGGTGAAACATTCCTCCAGGGCTCCCTAAAACAGAGTACATGAGATGTCCAGGCTAAGCATTTATATTGTACTAAAGCTTTCTTGTATTTTTTTACTACATCCACAGTTTGGGGAGGTATAGAGTTTAGTTTTAGAGTGCTTTCCTTGAAAAGTGGAATTCGATGCTTTGATGTTTGCTGAGTGGGCAGGTGAACTTTATGCCACGGGGCTCTCTCCAATGCCTTTTCGTATTTAAACTGGCAAAACTTTTAGCATCTTTGTATTGTTTTCATTATTCTAAAGTTTTATAATAATATGTCTTGACTTAAGTTGATTTTCATTGGCTGTATTAGGTGGTCAGTGGTCTGTTCAGTTTTGGAAACAAACGCCCTTCAATGATAAGTGTTCTTCAGTTCTGATGTGTAATTCCTGGTTTTCCTTCTCTTTTGTCTTTCCGATTCCAAATCTGCTGGATGGATGCTACACTTAATTTTTCCTTGTCTGTTTGTTCTGCTTTCTGCTCCCACATTATTGGCTTTTCTGGCTTTGTTTTGTAGACTTGCTGGTTGTGCTTTCGTCAACTTGACACGACTCCAGACATGTCTGGGAAGAGGGAACCTCAAATGAGAAAAGACCTCCATTTTGACAAGTCTGTGGGTTATTGTCTTGATTGATGAAGGGCCCAGCTCCGTGTGGGCAGCGTCATCTCCCGATGAGACGTTTCTGGGAGCTATTAGACAGCAGCATAAGTAAGTCAGACAGAGCGAGTCAAGAAGCAGTACTCTTCATGGCTCCTGCTCCAGTTCCTGCCTCCGAGTTCCTGCCCTGGGTTTTCCCAGAGATGGACCTCCGCACTGCAAGGTGAAATAAACTCTTTCCTCCTCAAGTTACATTTGGCAAATTTACTTTATCATAGCAACAGAAACCCTAACTAACACAGTAGAGATGATATAGTCATGAAAAAATTCTGTGAGGACAGTGTGGAGCCTTTTCAAAATAAGCATCATTTTTTTCTTGCGTAGTTATCAGCTGGATAAGTCAGTCATAGAAAGTTAAGTAAGAAAAGATACTGCAGTAAAGGTCGTGCCATCAGCAACAGTGGGGGATGTCCCAGGGAATGTCACTGTGTTTCCTAGCTCCAACCCTAGATAGAACATGAGCATTGTTCAGAAGCTAGGAAGAAGGTTGTTCCTCCTTCCGGGAAATCAGCATATGGTGAAGCCACTTTAAAATACAAAATAGACAATACTTAGTAGGCAGGCTGAAATGGTCTTCTCCATACACATGCCTGGTAACTCTTCCCAAAGCAGAATCCAGCTGTTCAACGCCCCCAGTCTGAAGCAGGTTCCCCACAAGTAGCCCTCTGCCATTTTCCACACCAGCAATTAAGATTATCTGTCAGCCAGCTTCCCCTTCTCTTCCCCCATCCCTCCCCATCCGGCTTGCTGTATAGCTCAGTCTGCCTTCCAATCCATGATCCTCCTCTGGCAGCCCTCAAGCCCACACTTGCTACTTGAAATTTTCTAGTGTCCCATGAATGCAGAAGAATTCCTACAAGGTGCTCGGTGTTCTTCAGAAGTGCTTGAATTCATTTATCCCTCTTTTCCCTCTGTCCCTCCGTCCCTCCCTCCTTCTCACCCCCTTCCTCCTTCCTTCCTACTTTCCTTCCTTCAAGACAGGGTCTCACTATATGACTCTGGTTGGACTGGAATTCCATATGTAGATCAGGCTGGCCTTGAACTCAGAGATTTAAAGGCCTGTCTCGGAAAGCCAAACAACAGCAAAAAAGGAAGTCACAAATTACAACTTGAGACCACACTCTGAATGCTGTGGTGAAGTCTCACACTGTCCTGCCATCCTCTGCGTGCCTGTGGGTCTTCTCGTCGGGCATCCGTGCTGTATACACCACCTTCCCAGTACTCAGTCGGCGTCTCGATTTATCTTACCTACTGTCCTGGCACCACAGGGCTCCTTTCCAAGTGACCTTTAGGAACAAGCCTGATGTCCCGATGCCAATCTCACACGTGTCTTTTGTTAGCTTACATAGGGTTCAGTGTTTATGTCACCCACAGTTTCAGGCATTCCGTCAGTATTGGATGCAGGGGACTATCGCCTCCGTTCGTAAGACCTGGAGCAGGAAGGCGTTTTTAAGCAGTGATGTGGGATAGCATAGCTCTCTTGAATCCCTTGGTTTATCTCACATCACAGTAAAGAAACGCAGCCCGGAAGCCCATCTCAGTCCAGCTGGCCTCCCCTACGCCCTGTGATTAAAGGCCTGTGATTAAAGGCCATGACTTTTTGATGCTTAGTGATAAACAAAGGCTATCACATCTGACACAGATCTCTGCTGCCCTCTAGCCAGTGACCCAGCCATCCATACAGGTCCCAGCAGCTCAAGGTCTCTGCTGCATTTGTGCTGTTTGTGAAGGATGGGGTCGGTCCAGGAAAGAGGTATGTATGTTTCTATGGGAACAGGGCAGTCTGGGTTCAGTCCACTAATAAAATCACAGTGTGTTAGATATTGAGACTTCCCAGATTAAGAACTGACCCCCAAACACAGGCAAGAAACAAAAGGTTTTGTGTGATGTCCTGACATGAAGTAATTGTGATGTGACAAAGGTAATTTTTAAATTACTTAAAATTTTTTGAGAGAGAATCTCATGCAGGTCAGGCTGGCCTTAACCTCCAGCCGGGATTACAGACATGTGTTAACTTGATAGCATTTAAAAATTTAATTTTATGTAAGACAGAGTCTGTGTATGCAGCCTTGGAACTTGTCTCGGAACTCTCAATGTATCCAAGTCTGGAACTCTCAATGTATCCAAGTCTGACCTTGAAGTCACCGGAAAACTGCCTGCCTCCTCTTCCCAGTGTTGAGTTATCTGAGTAAGTCTTCAGTCTCAAAACTAAGTATTTTTCTAACCGTAAGAATGCTTTCTCTGTGGATCCCTCATATATTTATCGGCGTCCACCTGAGGCCTGCTTGGCATGCGTGCTGAGTTCCCTTTACAGTGGCGGCTTCCTCCCCTGCTGGCCATCGGTGAAGTGACTTCCTCCCCTGCTTGCCGTGGGTGAAGTGACTTCCCTCTGCATGGACAGGGAGCACGGTGGGTTACAGACTGTATGGCGCTGTCTCTCACACAGCAATGTGTGTAGTGCGTGGCAGTGTGGGCCACCTCCCTGAGCCGGAACCCTAGTGTCAACTGTCTTTAAGACGCCAGTGTCGGGAGACTACGTGTGCACTACATGCAAGATGCCAGGGCTGGAGACTACATGCAAATTACATGTAAGATGCTAGTGCCAGAGACTACATGTAAACTACATGTAAGATGCCAGGGCTGGGGATAACATGTAAATTACATATAAGATGCCAGTGCTGGAGACTACATGTAAACTACATGTGAGATGCCAGGGCCGTTGACTACATGTAAATTACATATAAGATGCCAGTGCTGGAGACTACATGTATATTCCATGTAAGACGCCAGTGCCGGAGACTACATGTAAACTACATGTAAGATGCCAGGGCTGGAGATAACATGTAAATTACACATAAGATGCCAGTGCTGGAGACTACATGTAAACTACATATAAGACGCCAGTGCCGTTGACTACATGTAAGATGCCAGGGCTGGAGACAACACGTAAGCTGCCTGTGAACCGGGACGGGGAAGACCGTGGGCCGTGGGGACTGCAGGCTGCCCGCTTGCTTTCTGCGCGGTCTGGGGCCCTGTCTTCGTGCCCGCCAAGCCCCGGGGCTCAGAGGCGCGCTCCCGGGGCTCAGAGGCGCGCTCCCTGGCCTCTCGGAGCCGCGCCGGCCCCCTCGCGAGGCGCAGTCCCGCGTGGGCTGCGGTCGCGGCCGGGCCCGGGCCCCGCCCCTCGGGGCGGCTCTGCGCATGCTCGGCGGTGCGGGCGGCAGAGCGGGCGGCGGCGACCTGGAGACCCCCGAGGGATGGAAGCGCCGGCGCCGGCGGAGGCGGCGGGATGCGAGGAGCTCGGTGGGTGTTTTGCGGGGGCTCGGCCCGGCCCCGGGACGCGGGGGGCGTCTCTCGCGTTCGCGGTCCAGGGTGCGGGCCTCCGCGGCGGCGGCGGCATCCGGGCTCCCGGTGTCTCGCGCGTCCGGCGGGGACGTCCCTGCGCGCGCACGAGCTCGGGGTGGCGGGGTGGCGGGGTTTGCAGACACCCCGGGCAGAGGCTGGTGGGTGGCGGGGTTTTCAGACACCCCGGGCAGAGGCTGGTGGGTCCTGGGACCCCGGCCGGGGTGAGCTCCTCCCGGGCCAGCGCCTCCAGGTGGTCCCTAGGCCCGGCCTGGCCCCGCAGGGCGCTGCGTCGTGTGTGTCGGCGCCAGTCTGCGGGTGTGTCCGTCTGTCTGTCTCTCCGCCCGCCAGTGCAGTGCGGGGAGTCGCCCGGTTTGTCCACGTCAAAGGGAGGCGGGGGCCTCTGCCACGGGTTTTTTCCAGGATGTCTAAAGGAAGTTGCCATTGTTTTCTTTGCTAAGCCTGGATCTCAACACTGGGCTTCTCCAGGTGAAGCCTCATTTGACTCTTTGCTCCCCCAACTGTTCTAACGTGGGGGGGGGTGCACGTCGGTGCCAGGGAGAACAGGACCAGGACGTACCCACCTGGGTGGTGACCCGCCTGCACTCTGCTTCCACGGTTTTGGAAGGCTTGCTTCTGTTTTGTTGCTGTCAGAGAGAGAGAAACAAGCCAGGGTTAGGATAAAATGATGCCCTCCCAGCTGCACACTGCGCTTGGGTATATTTCTAAGCCCATGCAGGGTGTTGACCCCGCAGAAAGAGGCTGAGTTAAACCATAACTGTAAAGTAATTTATAGGCAGGCATTCCTGTAATAACCTGCCAGCGCCTTGTAGTTATTTTCTATAATGCCACGACAATGGTGGAGACTGTCATTTGTAAAGTAACTTTTATTGAGAGCCGTCTGTTATCACTGGATCCCAAGATGGGAGACAGAGGCAGGAGACTCACTCATTGACTTCGATACCAGCCACAGAAACAAGAGAGTTCCTGCCTTGTGGGAGTGAGAATAGACTCCCCCAAATTATCCTCTGACAAGACACACACACACACACACACACACACACACACACACACACACACACACACACACGCACGCACGCACGCACGCACATACGCACGCACGCACGCACGTACGCACGCACGCACGCACACCCACCTGCCAGAGGACGTTCATTTCAGAATTTGTGATAGGGTGGATGCAGTTACTGTCTCTGTCCAAATGTCCAGTGAAAGGCCATGGGCATGTGGTTTAGCCATACAGTCATCTACTGCCCAGCTGTTAAACATGATATGGAAAAATGTTCATATATGTGTGTGTGTGTGTGTGTGTGTGTGTGTGTGTGTGTGTGTCTTAACTGGAAAAGCATGTTGGTTCCTTCCCTAGCCCTCTTTTTTTTGAATTTTGAGGTGGGGGTCTCACTGTGTAGCTTAGGGCACAGAAGACATCCCCCTTCCAAAAACAACCCCAAGCCCCAACCCCGTCAGGACGCCTGCCTTGGCTGTTGTGCTTAGTGGGCAGACACAGCCAGTGAAGAGCAGAGAGTTATATCAGTCAGTGACAGGGGCTGTGGAAGAAGAGCGGGGTAAGGGAGTTTGAAGTGAGGATGGGCTGAGCATTTACAGAGGCATGACTGAATTAGGGCTAGTTATCTGTTTATTTTTGAGACAGGCCTTCCTGTGTATCCCCAGCTGTCTTGGAACGGAGTGATCTGCCTGCCTCTGCCTCCTGAGCACAAGTGCCAGGGTCAGAGGGTGGGCCTTGCATGAGTTAGGTTTTAAAAGAACAACAGAATGCAGCTAGGCTGCTAAAGTATCTGTCTAGTGTGCCTTAAGCCCTCCCTGGTTTGATCCCTACATAAACTAGGTATAGAGGTACAGCACTCAGGAGGTAGAGGGAGGGGCATTAGAAGTTCAGGGTCATCCTCTGCCAGATAGCAAGTTTGAAGCCAGCCTAGTTTACAGGAGACCTTGTTTTGAAAAACAAGGCAGTCCTAAATCAAGCCTGCTTCTGCTGGTTTCCGTGTGAAGAATGGACCGAGGGGCAGAAGCAGAAGCTGGAGGACATTCCACACGTTTAGGAAAGACCAGCATGCTCTTCAGAGCTGTGTGGCGGCCCTGATGGAAAAGGAGAGGTGATTAGACTGTCACGTTAGGATGTAGACGCTTGGTTTCCCAAGATACTGGGTGAAGGCAGACAGGAAGGCTCCAAAGACCTGCATGTCTGAGGAATGAAGGTGCCTTGGATTGAGGGCTTCCAGAAGTTCTGTAATGTGTCCAGCCTTTTATGTTTCCCTTTCAAGGAAGGGGCTTTGTTTTCTCTCCCTTGTGTATGTCCTGGACTTAACAGCTCACTTCTGATGAGCAGCCTTTGGCCGGTGTAGTGATTCCCCACTTCAGAGTTAGGCTGTAAGAGGCCCTGTGCCTTCTCTCTGCTCTCTCATTGAAGGGAAGCCAGCTGCCATGCTGGGAAGATACTCAGGCAGCCCAAAGACAGCAATCCCTGGGGCACAGATTGGAGGCCACCTGACAGAAGTCACAGACCTTTTATTTATTTATACTTTTAATGAAGTAAAAAAAAATTGGTACCAACATTAGAAGTGACTCCCACATAAGAGGTGGCTTGTTTGATGGGTGAAGCCACGTGGGTTAGAAGAGGAGATGAGGAGTTTGGTTGAGAGCTTGTTCATGTGTCGAGTTACTGGGAGGTGAGGTCTAGGGAGAAAGCTTGGAAGTTGTCAGCAGGTAGGAAGCACTGAAGCTGTGGGGAGGATAGGGAAGGGAAGAGGAGGGGAAGGAGGAGGGAGGGAGAAAGAAAGAATGGATACAAACCTGCTCTGCCATTATGAGGCAGTGTTGGGATGGCAAGAAGAGTTTTTAGGAAGTGCTGTAACACTGTTACCTCTGTGTGTCCTGATGAGTGTTACATAATGTAAAAGGCGTTTTATCATTGGGCATCTGTGGGTAGCATTGTTGGAGATGAGGGTTCAGACTTCCTAGCTCAAAGGCTGGGCTTCAGAGGGAAGTGTTTTTAGGAAGTGCTGTAACACTGTTACCTCTGTGTGTCCTGATGAGTGTTACATAATGTAAAAGGCATTTTATCATTGGGCATCTGTGGGTAGCATTGTTGGAGATGAGGGTTCAGACTTCCTAGCTCAAAGGCTGGGTTTCATGTCACAAGTCACTGGGCATTTCCAGACCGTTTCTTACATACTGTTCTCTCAACCACAGGAGTAAAGTAGTCTTACTTCACAATCCAGATAGGGGTCCATAGGTTTAGGTGACAACGTTGTGCTAATTTTCATAAAGAAATCCTGTGTAGTTTGCCTTACTCTCATTGCCAACACATAAGTGCTTTCCTATAATAAGAGCAATATAACATCAGTAAATGTTGCAACACTTTCATAGAAAAAAGAGGATACAGATGGCTCTGTGGTCCATCTGTACCCTTGTTAGCTTATTCCCTCTTTGGAATATTTTCCTCTTCATTTCCTCCTTACTTTTTAAAACATTGCAGTGTAGGATGAATACACAGTTTCTCTCCTGATTCGCCGTAAGCTACGGCCACCCTTGTTTGTCTGAGACCTATAACCACGACGTGAAGTCAGGGTTGTATTTTATAGAGGGGCTGTGCCCTAGTGGGTAGAGTAAGTTGCTTATGTCTGTATACTTGGCAAGTTCCGAGACTTTATGCTTTGGCAGTAATCTTTATCAGTAGCTTGCCAGAAGTAGAATTACTGCATGAAAGTAATGAGTGCTGTAATACATATTGCTGAGTTTGTCAGTCTTAAGCTACAATTGGAGCTTAAGCTATTTTAGGATAGGCAGTCGAGGCTGCATGAGTCGGGGTGACGTGTGAGAGCATCCATGGTCTGCCTCATTCATGTTAGTGTGCATGGCACGTGGTACGTGTAAGGTGTATGTCTCTGAATCAGGTGAGTGTTTCTTATTCGTACATAAGTTATCCGCTTATGCCCCAGTTGTTTGAAATCCACTGCTTACTAGTATTTTATAAGGCATTATTTTATTTGTTTTATCACAGCTTTTATCAGAACTGTGTAATCTACTGCTTGGCCAAAAAAGTATATCAAAACACCAGCAAATAACAGTAAGCTACATTGAATGCTCATGTAATTTTAATTGCTTGATGTAGAGTATTCAGATGTTATTTCATGTGCTTTTAACTCCGTTAAATCTGTTGCCACGTTAGGTCTTTAGGTATCATGATTATTATTTCAGGATCGATTCACTGATTCATTGAGAGTGTGTGTGTGCCCATGCGTGTGCAGGCCAGGGTACAACTGTGGGACTCAGTTCTCTCCTTGTCCTGTGTAGGTCCCAGGGATCAGATTCAGGTCTTCAGGCTTGGTAGCAAGCACCCTTAGCTGCTGATCTGTCTCCCTGGGTCTCCTGAAGGGTGAATTTTGCATTAGTTTCTATTTCCGTTTCCCCTTAGCTAGTATAACGTCCTGTCTTGGCAAACTCAGTCTTTTTGGACAGTTTGCTCATCATGCTCATTATCAATTATTTTTTATTAAGTTAGCTCTAATTTCTTGTCAAATTAGCACTTTGAAATCCTAGCAAGGGGTGGCTCATGTACTGTGGAGTGGGACCCTTGCTTCGTGGCTGCTGTCTCATTTCATTGTCTATTGCTCTGGGACGTAGAAGTTGTGAGTTTCATTGTGTGTATGGTATAGCAGGCCCAGAGGCCTCTGGGTAAGACGTCGTCCAGCTGACTTCATTCCTCTGCTTCAAACTCTCTGAGGTTGGTCTCTGAGTATTTGCAGTGTGTACATCCCAGTAAAAACACCCTGGATTTCAGGTACTTAGTATGTAAAACAGGATGTAACACACCCTACTCTTTGTGTTGATTATCTGGTGAGGTGGCAGTGTGTTGGACTCATCAGATTAAACACGGTACACTATTAAATGTCTTGTCATCAGCAGGCAGAGGTTCAGGTCTG